CGGAAATGATGGCTATGGACTGGAGCCGGGTTGGATTGGATTTTTTTGGGCCTGAATGCAATATACTATATAATCTCTGTAAGTAGGTCTAGGGAGGAAAAAAAAATCTGCATTGGTATCGGCAAAATAAGTTTGAACATATTGGCATATCAGATATCAGCCAAAGATCCAATATTGTGCATCTCTAGTTAAATTACTTCTTGCACAGGTTGAGGCTCATTTTGTTAAAGCCTAAGCTATCATGTTGCTGATGTTTCCTCACTCATTCCTCACAGATTCAAAGCAACATTTTAACACTGCCATCGAGCCAAGTGTTAGGAGTGATTAGAGGGACTTTCCTACTTGGCAGATACACATTAGGTTTCCTTCCGAAGCGCATTGTGCTGAACTGAAGTGCAGTTGTAGGGCTCATTTGCTTCCTTTGTTACTGAAATTTAAAGTGAGACCCGACAGTTTTTATTTTGTTGTTTCTCTATGACGTAACCAGTGGAGCTTGAGTCCAGCAAGGCAGATGTTTTGTCCAGCTGTGGCTGTAATTCAATGCTGAGCTGCAGTGTGGAGGCTCCAGAGTGGTTACAGCAGCCCAGCCCCTCACATTCCTCTCCCCACCACCTCAGCCCTGCTTTCTGTCTCTCTTCTGGAGCGAACCTCTCGACCTGCTCTGCCCTCGCAGCCTTGTTTGGATTATCAAAGAACTCTCCAAACAAAGGTCCACAGATAATATTTTATGTTGTTTACATCGGTGACGGGCAGTTCTTTTCCCGAGCGTTGTGAAGTGTTGCCAGGTTTCATTCTCCCCTGCTTAAAGTAAGACGTGTTGTGGACTTGGAGCTGGAGCTGGAGTGTTATCTAGTTTTTTCATTACTTCTTATATACAGATTTTAATTCAATCCAGTTTATTTCTATAGCGCCAAGTCACAACAGAAGTCATCTCAGGGCACTGAACAGAAACATTCATATATAAAAATAATAACACTATTTGTGAGTCCCATTTTAGATAACCTGTGCTGTGTGTAGCGAGTTCTGTGGAGGACACACTACAGGACTTTTGGAGAGTCCTAAAGCAAATACTTGTGACAGATTTTAGCCCAGATGTCAGCATCAGGATCAATTGAATAGTCCTTTTCCCATTTTGAAACTGGTACATATGTATTTTTATCTGATTGCAATATTATTCTATATGTTTTGGAAAGGTTTTTTTTTTTTTTAAGAATAATCAGATTGGAGCTTGGAATGGGGACATTTAAATTAATACTTTTAATATTATATTTGGTTTGAATAGATGATTTTAGCTGAAGGTATTTTAAGAATGCATTGCTCCTGATGCCGTACTGCTGGACCAGGTATGGTCTGTATGGTCTATGGCACATATGTCAAACTCAAGGCCCGAGGGCCAAATGTGGCCCTGGATGACATCTTATCTGGCCCCCAAGATGACATTTTAAACGCAAAATACTTTTTTCACTTGAATTTTTTCAGTAATATTTGATTATGATGTCAAAAGTGTAACAGAGAATGTCAAATGAGACCAATCAAACTCTTTTTGAAGAACCTGCAACCAAGAAAAGATGCCGGGTATCTAACTTAAGTTAATGTAGATTCTGAAACTGGCCCTTAGTTTGAAAAAGGTTTTAATTTTGGCCCCATTTTGTAAGTGAGTTTGACACCCCTGGTGGTATGAACAGATATGAGAGATAACTCATCATTTTTAAAGAGACGAGTTAAATGCGCAATTCCTTTTTCTGACCATGTGCGAAGGTTAAGTGGTTCTTCGTTGCTGAAAAAGTTCAAGTGTATTTACTGTCGTTCGCGTCACATGTGGTACATGAGGTGGAACGAAATTATGTACTCGGGGTCCCAGTTACACCCAAAAATAGCAAAAATATAAAGAAGAAAAAGAAGAATAAAAAGAAACGTATACAAAGATCTAAGATATACGCTAAACACTCATGTAATATAATACGGTATATTAAACACAGCCCAAACATGAGAGCAGAATGAATCCAGCAGCATGAGATAGTGAGCAGCACAGATAATTCACATATCACTTATCAAAGTGGCATTACAGTGATTTTTTTTTTTTTTTTCCTTAGTGATTATCCTGGTTAGGGATTTATGAGTCTAACAGCTTCAGGGTACAAGATGTTCCAGATTGTTCCAAATTGGGATGAATTTAGATGGTGCCAAAAATAGATTTTGTAATTTGATTAAATTTCCATTATAGACTGTCAGAGAAGATATTATTAGTGTTGTAAAAAAATGGATGGTGTTTGATTGACTGACAAAAGGAAGGTCTTGAGTATGAATAGAGTAACAGACTGATTGCTCCAAGTTTAACCACATTTCCTCCTATTGTTCTGAGCCATTATTGTGTGTTGTATAGAAATTTGTAGCTGCAAGTCCACCTTGTAATTTGGGCTTTTGAAGTTTGTAGTTTAGTTCAGGACGTTTAATTTTTCCAATAAAACTTTGTAATAATGGTGTTTAGCGATTTGAACCAGGCAATGGTAGGTTGAGTTGAAGTAATGTTTGGTAAAAGTTTCATTTTTGACTGAAGCTATCCTCCCGATTAAAGTGGTAAATACATCCATATGAGTAGATGATCAGTAATGGTTTTAAACGGTGGGGTAAAACTGAGACAGAATAATTGTAATTTAACTTAATTATCAACTAAACTGAATCAGATCATTAATCCTGGAATTTTGATCCCTTCAACATTTCTTTGACATGGCTCAGTCTAATTTAGTTAATCTGCTAGTCCACACAGACCAAAACAAAACAAAAAAACTTTTGCTAATTAATCTGACTGGTTATTGACAGAACAACAAAAAAAGATTATAAAATAAATATCTTGATGCATGCTCAATAATCCAATCCAATAATCAATTATAAAATAAACAACCCTCTGACGCCGGTCAAATTATACACTAGCATTAGTAGCTGAAGTAAGCTGTGTTAGCACTTTATGCTAATGTTAGCTGAAGCTGTTTCAGCTGTGAATATGACAGTACATTGTTAAGAAGAACTGCATCTGAGTTGGCCCTTTTAAGAAAAAGTTTAGCCTTCTTTTGAAGAGAAGTTTTGTAGAATAGTACGAACAAATCACGTCTTTGAATGAAATCAGACTGGATTGACGAGCTCACGGCTAGTCTGAGCTATGTGTCGTCTTACACCATTTTATGCACAGTTACAGTGCCTGCAGCTTCGCGTTACATGGTTATTTTATTAAAAAATAAAAATAAACACAGGAAAAGAAGTTTTTATTTTTTCCTTTCAAAACCAAACAAATCTAGTTTCCATGGAAACAGATGAGAAAGGAGCAGAAGGATGTCGTGGTGGACCCATCCGTGGTGTTCCTCAGTAACATCTTAGACAAGGTAAATATTGTTTTTATTTTTATTTTTTTATATAGTTAAAGTGTTATAGCTTAGTAAATGCTAAATTTTGAACCATGCTTAAAAACAATAAAATTACTATTTAATTGATGTTCGTTAGAAACTGAAAGATGCTCAAATAAATCAAATAACCCTGTCATTTAAGAAACAAATGTCTGAGTTTGTATCAAAACTAGTTCTTTCTCCCGCACACAGCCTCATCATGATGCCACCAGCAGGTGTCGTCATGTGTTCACAGATAGAAGAACAGTACTCCAACTATAAAAAAGAAAAGACCCTTTGTTTTTATGAATTGTTTCTCAGTTATTAAAAACAAAGTAGTTTTTTTTTTTTCGATGACATAAAGGGTTGATTCTGGTACAATCATCAGTATTTCTCCTCAGCCTATTCATAAGGCAGCAAAGAAGGGAAGTGTAAGGTGATTATGCTGCATACGTTGTATATTTTATGCATTATCTGAGCGTTATTTGTCATTTTCAGGGTCACAGCTCTTGTAAACCTTCACTTCAGTTTGACTCCGAGTCAGCTTCCTGTCCAGACCAAGACACCAACCTTTGTGGTTATAATGTGGTATTTTATTGACCAATGTTTTGCTTAGCGTCACATGTGCAGAAGTCTAACAATAAACCAAAATACCAAACTCAATTAAAGGAAGAGTTTCATTCAAACCCTGTTTAAAATGTATCATTCACAGAACTCAAGTTAGTGAATCCTAAATGCTGTTAATGAGGCACCAGATGAGGGGCTGTGTTGTTCAGTGTTTGTATCACTGTGTCCTCTATTAGTAGAGACGTAACTCTGTTTGTCTGTGTCTGACCTCCCTGAGAGTTTGTCTAACTCTTTGTGCAGCAGGTTTTTTTACATTGCCTTTGTTTAACCTACAGCTGCAGGAGATGACAGTCTCATACTCAGGCCAACATTTTCTAAGGGACATTTCCTCCCCGAGGAGGTTAAATAGCAGCTTGTTCATTTAGAGCTCCAACACTTCTACGCTGCCAAATATCTGTTGATGTTTTATTAATTGTGCTTGTGCTTTTATTTTAATGAAATGTTTCACGCAGCCCTTTATGATAGATATGCAGTACATAACTTGTTATAACACTTAATGAACGGGTTAAACTTTCAAACTTGCACAGAAAAATACAATTAATCAACATACACAAGAGGTAAATTAGCAAGAGGTATGCAAACGTAACATTCTGCTGCTGCCACTGTTTGATTTTACTAGAGTCAAAGATAATGGTTTCCTTCTGAGATGTTTCAGCACAAATTGGTGCATCTTATCGTTTGACATTGATTTGAAGTGACCTTTGAGCTTGTTTTTACATGTAGATGTACAAATGTTGCCTGCATTTCATTTCCCTGTGGTAACTCAGATCACAATCAGGCTTCCTAACTACAGATTGGGACATTTTCTTCCAAGAGGCCGACATCAATACAGCAACAGATCAATCACTGATTACATTTCTTTTTGTGTTTGTTCAATTATCCCTAAGAAAACTATTAAAGAATGCCGAAATAATAAATATCACGCTGGAAATAAAGGGAAGAAAAATGCTTTGAAATCAGGGGACACTGCAGGGGTCCAAAAGACATTAACCAGAGGATGAGAGTGGCTCTGCCGTACAAGGAGTGGGCAGAACTGGACTTGTCCAGGTCTAATATCAGGAAATTATGAGACTCTATCTGTGGCATGACCCACATGACCCCACAAAGACAACCGCTGTTGGCCAATGATGAAATCATCAAAGCAAAAGGGCTAAATGATTTATATATGTGCTTTGAAACAACATGTCTGCTTTTCTTTTAAAAACATTTGCAGTGGCGCTCACACCAGCTTGGCTCAAACTCTTCCAGCTATTGACCCTCATTCAGTTCCAAAGCTCTGGAAAAAAATAATCTGTCACTGCAATTCCTAAGAAATCATTCCCTCAGGTGAACAATGATTTTAGGCCAGTGGCTCGAACCTCCATCGTTATGAAATCATTGGAGCAGCTGTTAATCCAGGAGCTTCACGTGGCAGTAGAGCCACACCTGCATCAATATCAGTTTGCATACAAAAGGAATCGGATTACAAGTGATGCCATGCTAACTTTAATACAACAAATTTTAAAACATCTGGAAAGTCCCTTTGCAAATGCCAGATTAGTTTTCATTGATTTTAGCTCTGCTTTAAATTGTATTCAGCCACACATCCTTCTTAAAAAAGGCTCAGTTGGAGGTAAATCCACTTCTCATAAAGCGGTACCACTGTTTCTCATCAAACAAGCCACAGCAGGTCAAATTCAAATGCTACATTAGGAGTCCCTCAGGGATGTGTCAGCTCCTAGCGGGGCCATAATGTGGTTAAATTTGTCAGATGACATTGTTGTACTAAGTCTGCAAGAAACCACCTCCAACTTAGGCAGCCACAGACCTGGAGTTTGTGAAATGGTGTGACGTCCATAAACTGCAAATTAATGCTAAGAAAACAATGGAGATGCTGATCCCAGGTCAGCTGGACATCACAGCCATACATGGACACAATATCAACCAGGTCAAGTCATACAAATATCTGGCAGTGCATATTTTGATGGATTGAGGAAGTGGCAAGTGTTTGTGCCTGAATCCATCAGCATCTACATTTTCTCTGTCAACTTAGAATGTTTTGGAGTCTGCAACAACATTATGTTGATTTTTTTGCCGAGCAGTGATTGAACCAGTATTGATATGGCATTTGTTGGTTTCATAATCTGACCATAAAAACAAAGGCTTAGATATTAAATCTGCTGAAGACAGCAGGTAAAATCATGAATAGAGCTGCACCTTTAACTTTCCAAGACCTCATTGAGCAGATGGCCCTCAGACATGGCAGGCAGTGTCTTGTCTGATGCCTCTCATGTTCTACACTCATGTTTTGTTAAACTCGGGAAGAAGGTACGGGTTCCTTCCAGGGTTTATGTAAATACAACCCCAACAAGAACTCGTTCATCCCTCTTTCAGTGAAGCTCTTCAACATAGGATAACATGCTTTTTTAATGTAATTTATGTGTTTTATATGGAATGTGTTTTTGTGCAACAGACCCATCCAAAGCAAATGTCTCCTAAGGGAGTCTAATAAACACTCCTTTCATTTTGAACATTTAAGCATGGGTACTTCAAATTTTTACTGTAATATGAGCAGGTTACTGAGTAATAAGTGCTCCTGATAATCAAAGACTTGCTTATGGAGGAAACACTTAGCTGTTCTCTAATGAATGGACTATTTTTATTGCTTAAATACAAAAATAAGAATTACAAAAACAAAAAAATATTTATTTAAGCATAAAAATATTTGTAAAAAAATTAACTTTTAAGATGTACAACATTTGTAGCACCCATCTGAACATGCTGTACCCTGTGATGGAATCTGAAATGTACTAAATTATAAAGCCTGAAGCGGAAGTGCTTGTACGTTTGCTACAAAATAAATGGTAGCTGTTTTTTAATCAACTATATCGTTAAACCCATCTGCTTTATCTGTGCCTTTTCTCTTCAGTAACTAAAATAAATTGTGTACTTAAGTATAATAAGATCATGTATAAGCACGAGATATTTTATAGAACCACCTACTGTTAAAAACCGCACGGAAGTTTTTATTTTGAAAGTTAATAACGGAAGTTGTGTTAACGCCTGCGTACTTGACACAAGCCGCTTTAAATAATTTTCGCCGTGTGCGGCTGCGGGATGCTGTTACCGGAGAACCCCGCTCTTATGCCCACCACCACCACCACCACCGGTAGGCCCTTTTTTCTTTCTTATTCCTGTTTTTTCCTCTCCATTTTGTGACGTATTTGTATCCTTTTAACCCGTCCTTTTAATTCGTAGACTTATTATTAGCAAATATCAAATGACTTCTGGCAGAGCTTCGTCCGTAGTTGACTTTCAGGGCTAACCTCTCGTACAGGAATAGCTCACACTGGGATTTAAAATTAGACTTCTTAGTGTGTGAATAATGTGCCGGTAATTATGCAGTTGCTATTTCTGAAGCTCACTTGGCAGAAGTTGGTGCAGCGTCGCTGCAGGTTACGTCACGTTTAGGTAACTGAGCAGGTCTGGTGACGTCACAGAGTGTCCTGAGGATGGTGTCCAGAGACATCAAGTCCCCGTGTTGAACTGTGATCAGTTTAACCGCTCGGTGTCCTCACAGCACGGCCGCAGGTCCTCATTCCCTCTCAGTGATCCTCTTGTATCATTTGTTGTATTCTAAGCCTACAGATTAATGTAAAATAAAATTAAAAAACGTGACCTTTGACCTCAGCAGTGAGGGGGAATCTGGTTCTGGCAGCCTGCTGTCATCAACAAGGTTTGCTCATGGGCTTTAAAGCAGACATTTGTGTGCTTCTCAGTAATTATGAACTAATCTTTTTTTATTTAATAATATATATTAAGTGTCATTAACTGATGATATTTGCATTGGTCTGTTATTTTTTTAATAGTGAAAAAGTTTTTTTCTATTTTTCTTTTTAACGCTCACTTTTTGACAGTGTGCAACAATGTTTTAACCTGTGACTGTGTGTTTATCTGTTAGCAAAATATCTCTTGAACAGATATTGTAACGAAACTGTCGGGACATAATCATTAGTTGAATTTCTATAATTGATCAACTTTTGGAGTCAACCCAATTCAAGATGGCTCCAGTCAGCTGATTTTTAAAAAAAACACGAAGGTGACAATATCTCAGTCAATTTTAAATATATTGACTTGAAATTTGGTGTGGTAGTAGCTGATACTGATCTCCAACACGTTTTGAGAGTTAACAGATGGTGCAAGATATTTGTTTAACATGTTAATAACTATATAAAGTGAACTACTGCACCTGTTTGTTAGCAAACTATCTCATGCACCATTAGACCAGTGGTTCTCAAACTGGGGTCCCCAGACCCCCGGGGCTCCGTGAGCCAGTGCTTGGGGGTCCCAGTCAAAAACTAGTCAAAAACTAAAAAGTATGGATGGCGTGATGGAGCCATCCAAAATTAAGATGGTCCCCACAACCAGCTGGCTTTAAAAAAAAAACTTGGTGTCTAAAATTAAGTCAGTTTTACAGAAATCATGCTAAAATTTGGTGTGATCGTAGCTAACAGGCACTCAACCTCAACCACAAATAGATTTCATCTCAATATCGGTAAAACTGACTGACAGAACTATGTCTGCATTTCCTAAGATCAGTTGGCTGTGGTGGCCATCTTGAATTGGTCCAAGCGTTTATCAGTTATACATAAACAATGATTGTTTCCTGACAGTATCAACAATTCATCCAGTGGTTCATGAGGTATTCTGCTAACAGACAAACAGAGGTCAATCCGATAGTTAAAGACAAAATCTTATACTTGGAATATCTGTTAGAGATCAGTCTCCGCTGCTACTGCACCAATGTTTCGATCAATATCTCTAAAACTGACTCAGTTATGGTCATTCTTTTGTGCTTTCTTTATATGTCCGTTGGCTGTGGCAGCCATCTTGAATCAGACCGAGTCCAAATGCAATTTTTTTTCTAGATCTACATCCAATGATTATGTTCTGAAAATGCTGTTAAAACTTGTCCAGTGGTTCCTGAGATGTTTTGGCAACAGATAAACACACACACACACATGCACAGGCACGCCTTGTGGTGGCAGGAGATAACGAGGGATGATGTAAGATATCTGCACAGTAGTGCACATGGTGTTCATGATAAACAGCATCATGATGCTCAGAAAGCTGTGCAGTGGATGCAACAAAACCTACAAGTGTGAAGGACCTTGGAGCTTTAACTTGGCTCATCTTTAAACTAAATCAATACTAAAAACTGTATAATGGATGCTATTGTGATTTATGCTGTTTTAGGTTGGTGAATAAACAAGTCTGGACACAATGTGACACAAATTTCTGGTATTTTTATTCCCTGCCATCAAAGGCAAGAAGGTTTATTGCCTGTTTCATGTTTTAGTTTTTCTGTACTGTCAGCAAACTATTTCATGAACCAGTTTAAAAATATGAATGAGTTTTAAAGAAAGTAATCATTGGTTCTGCACCTATAGCTGATCAACTTTTGGAATTAATCAAAACCAATATGGCCACCGCAGCTAATTGACCTGAGCCACCACAAAAATGTCTAACTCAATCAGTATTACAGATATTGAGCTGAAGTTTGGTGTGGTAGTAGCTGAGGGTCATCATCCTCCAAGTGCATTAATAATCTGTGTTTCTCGTCTCCTTTTTTAGAGAGGGACACCTCAGCAAAGATGGCGGCTGCATCAAACCCAGTCCAAATAGAACCACAGGATCAACGCTTCTTAGTGCTGTTCGACTTTGATGAGACCATCATCAGCGAAAACAGCGACGACGCTGTGATTCGGGTTCTGCCGGATCAGCAGCTCCCCGCCTGGCTGACAAACAGCTTCCGGGAAGGCCACTACAACGAGAACATGCAGAAGGTTTTGGCCTTCATGGCGGAGCAGGGTGTGTCCAAGGAATCCATCCACTCCGCGGTGGAGAAGATCCCCCCCACTCCTGGCTTCTTGAAACTCCTGCAGTTTCTGCAGAGCCACATTCAGGACTTTGAGCTGGTGGTGGTCTCTGACGCCAACACCTACATTATCCAAACATGGCTGAAGCACGCCAAGGTACTCCACCTCTTCACGAAGATTTTCACAAACCCTGGCAGTTTCAACGCTAAGGGCCAGCTGGTGCTTCTCCCATTCCACTCGCACTCGTGCTCCTGTTGTCCTGAAAATATGTGCAAGCAAGTGATCCTTCAGGAGTATTTGACCGACCGGCAAATGGAGCGAGGTGGCACTACGTTCCAGAGGGTGTTTTACATCGGAGACGGGGCCAACGACGTGTGCCCTTCTCTGGTTCTGGGGCCTCAGGACATAGCCTTCACCAGGAGGAACTTCCCCATGCACAGGCTGCTGGTGGGGATGCAGCAGTCTGCAAAATTCAAGGCCAACATAGTTCCTTGGGTTTGCGGTGAGGATATAGTGGACTGTCTGGAAAAAATAGTCAAGGAGAGATGAAACCTGTGTGACTGGATATTAAAACAAAAAGTAAAAGGGAAGGAGGAAAACAGAAGCAGAATTGGCAAAAATCATGATTTTAGCCCATATTTAATTGAAACAGTTTGTAAAGACATAGCTAAACTATTATTCTTGGCCTGCAATCAAAGATATGAAGAATGAAGGGTGACAAAGTAATTCACATCCATTTTAAAGTGGGATTACGTGTCATTTTGGTTATGAAGACTTGATATACAGTAGCCCCTCGTTTATCGCAGGGGGTTCCGTTCTCAGCTCCCCCAAGATAAGTGAAAAACCGCAAAGTAGGAATAGTAGTACAAGTAGTAGTTTATTTTAGTATTTATATATATGTATTCATATATATATATATATATATATATATATATATATATATATATATATAAAGGCATTTTAAACTCTTTCCACACTCTTGCAATATTCTAAACAATATTTCTCAACTTTAAACACTTTAAAAGAGCACAGCCTGTCGTGATCTTTGCTCTCTGCCACCTGCCAGCGCTCTCGGCCACGCCCACTTCTCCGCTGCAGAGCGGAGAGCAACATGCTGCAGGAGAGAGCTTCGCCCTGCACATGTGGGCTGCACACAGGTGCAGCAGGTGCTAAATAATAAAAAATAATTTACTTTAAATAAAAATTCCCATGCCGATCATGTGGCTCATCCATAAGTCTGTCGATTGCGTGTCATGTCCAATCTTACTTCGAAAAACGTGAAAGAGTGAGTCCGCAAAAGTCGAACGGCGAAGTAGCGAGGGACTGCTGTATTACCAGTTGCAGATTGCCACTGCTTTAATCTGGAGTGTGACGACCTACAGCTACTCCCCGTGAGGTGCTGCCATCTTAAATCAGCTCCAGTTTCAAAACTTTTATAGTGATTCATGCATTGTTTTATAAAGTTTTACATCACCACCAGTTTCACATTACATGGGGGTAATCGCATAAATAACAGCAGCAGCAGCTAGCTGTACCACTTCTAGTACAGCCTGAGGCCAAATCTGAAAGAAATATAATTTTGCTGGTTTAAATTTTGGCGTTTATTTGAATCACTATAAAGTTTTGAAGATTGGAACTAGGACTTTTAGAAAAAAAAATTGCCACGTATGTGCACACTGATATTTCAGTGGTGATACAGTTTTGATATTTTGTGCAGCCCTAATCAGAACTTTTATAAAAACGGCTCATCAGTCATATCCAATGCAAACTCAGTTCCTGTGAATGGTGGGTGTTCAAAGAGCTGTCTACGCTTACACAAAAATCCCACTTCAAAATGGTCGTAATAGCCCTTTAATGCTTTTGCACATTACTGTAAGCAGTATAATAAGTCAACTTGAGGGTTTAGTTTTTCATAACAGTCATAATAATGATAACAAACTCACCTCTATGAACAAATGATCCCCTCTTGTCTGAATGCACTTTACATGTAATTGTCTCACCTCCTGCCTGGCAGCTGTTGCATGAGTAGAAACTGATCTGCAGGCTAGAGCTATTCCACATGAACACCCTTTTTGAGGTCCTCCATGATAGATATATTGGTAGCTCTGCCTGCAACAGAAACCCACACGTGTCAGGCGTGACATAAAACAGCGATAAGGTTGCAGAGACTCTGGCGCGCTGCCCTGATACTTAATCCAAGGGTTGATTTTTCAGCTGTAATCCACACCAGCATGAAAACAGCAGGACCGCTGAAGCCATATGTCTGCTTTTAGACCCAACATTAAACCCACTGCTGCAGTGAAATAAAGTGTGATGATGATTCATAACTTTTAGAACTAAAGCCTGGGTGTAGTTATTAGTTTGAACTTGCTGCTTGTTAAAAAGTCCCAGTGATTATTAACATTCTAGTCAAAGTCCAATGCCTGTTTTACGTTTAAACGAATTCAGCAACGTTTCTAAGGAGGATCGTTTGAAAATCACTTTGTCTCTTAACTGCATCACTGAAATTGAAAAAGATATTTAAAGTCAGATAATAAATCTGTAGTGTTTTTTAAATGATCTCAAGTAGCTTCAGGTTTGCGACTGTAAGAATAACTTAGTGTTTAAATCTTATTTAATATGATTCTGAAGTCATTTCAGCTCAGCCTGTTGAGCTAATTGTATGCTGATGATGATGTTCAGTCATTAGCCATAACATTATGACTATGCTGAATATTGAATAGGTTCTTCTTGTGACACTTAAAGAACATCGGGGGGTGTTCTGGGATGTCCAGTACTGGGAAATTAGCATCTACTGGGTCTTGTGCACTCATAAAAAAAAAGATGGATGAAGCTACTTCACTTCCATTGCTCAAAATTGAAGCCAAAATGTCCATTTAACTGGGTGCTGCTGGCATGTTGTATTTTTCAAGACAGAGTCTGCACTCTGCAGATGTGAGGCTGTAACTTTACACACCCTCCCAACTTGCTAACAGGCTGTATCACTCAGTTATAACAAGAGGCTGTTTTAAAGCCTTAAATATAGGGATGCACGATATTGGATTTTTGGCCGATATGTTAAAACTTATTTTGCCGATAACCAATACCGATATTTTTAATATACTTTTCCTTTGTCAGAACATATTCCTCTTATTTAGGCTTATTTGCTACAAAAAATGTGTAACAGCTGTAAGAGCTGGTGACATATATTCAGTAGCAGTCATACGATATGCATAGCACTTTAACTTATATTAAATGAAAAGTGTTAAATATTATTTATTTGCATTAGTCACCTGCGATGCTGTCTCACTTGTGGAGGCTTGTTCCAGGTTCGTAGCTGCAGTGTGGATCCTCTGCACTCTTGTGCATGAAGGACAGCCTTTTTAAGTTCAAAGTTTTTGTCTATCCATTGTGCTGTTAGACTAATCATGCTAACGGGGCTAACACGACGTCCAAATGTCTGTGGTAAAACTCACCCAAGTGCTATCGGCTATTAGCCTCTCAATGATGTCGGAAATGACGGCTTGTAACTCTGGTAAGATTACGTCGGAAAAATATCTCCGACTGGGGACGATGTAGCGAGGCTCAATGTAATCCAAAAATCTTCGAATGACCGATGTCCGATATTTAACTTTAACACTAATATCGGTCAATACCGATACCATGCCGATAATATTGTGCATCCCTACTTAAATATCTAGTATAAATTAAACAGTTTTAAAATTATTATTTGAACCTTCAACAGCAGAGTGAGAACTAAGTGAATCAACAAAAATCAGCATCTCAAAAAGATTTCAGGTGTATTTTTTGTTTTATTTTATCAGGAAAATGTTGTGTTCATTTAAATAGAGGGGCGGGGCTTTAATAACGTACAGCAGCCAGTCACTGGATTATCCTTTTGTGGCTTCGACTTCCAGCTTCTGGTCCTGTCTTCAGTTTTAATATTTGTCAATAGTGGGGTGATTTGTGAGGTAGGGTATCTGTGGGTTAGTTTTGCTTTCCTCTAGTATCATCGGCTCTCGTCTGATTGAAGAATTTTCACGTGAGATGGACTTTTTGTTGTGCTCTATAGAAGCTGTTGTTGCGGGGCTTGTCGCTGTCCTGCTGGAAGAAGCTGCTACTGATGGGACGGGACTCGTCTTTGGAATATTTAGATGTATGTGGAAGTGTCAGAACGTCCAGGTAAAGGCCAGGGTGCAGGATGGCATTGTAACAGAACGAGCAGTGTCTCTCATTTTATACTTCTCAGTGGTTATGATGTCATCGCTGATTTATGTGTGGCCAAGATAAAGCTACAAGTGTTGAAAATGTCCTTTCTTCAGTGTTTAAGTTTCTCAGGGAGTACAGACAGCAAGCAAAGACAGTGATAGACAAATGTTTGTTAGCTCTGCAAGTGTTTGGTTTTATTTATGACTGAGAGGTCAGAGGTCAGTAGGCGTAATACAGCTACAGTATGAGGTCAAAACTCATAAATGCTTGTTGATGAGGACACTAGATGAGTGACGCTTTTTCCTAACAATGCAACAGCCTAATTTATTTAACTTGTCTGTGTAATCTTGTGCAATAATTAAAACACTTTATACTTGATATAACAAAACTGTGATGTTTTCAGGGACGCACATTGACCCCAGCTCACAGTGTTTTCAGTGAAACAAAAACTCCTGTTGCAACAGCCAAATAAATGCGTGTTGTCAGGACTGTGCTTTTCCTTTTTGTGAGTTCTTGCACTCTGTGAGGTTTTTGTGTATGACATGAATAACTTCTAAAGGTTGTAAATGCATTGTTGTAACAGGAACGTAAAGCCATTATCCGACTGTGTTCTTTTGGTGTGTTTTATGAAAAACAAATTCATAATATGTGACCTATTAAAAGACCTCTTTAACAACCTATCATCCAGTAGCTCCTCTGTTATTGATCTGAGTACATTTAGTCACATTTATTTACAATGAAATGTTTAAAAAATAAGTTTCATGTGACCACATAAAATGCTTGTTTGATATGAGGCCATTCTAGCTTTAAAGTACAAAATATATGTTACTTTTTCTTAATTGTAACAACAACTTGCACTTTTATTCAGTGTTTCATGGTCAAAACTATTAATTAATATAAAATAAAACAAACTCATTATGAAAGAGCCGGTACAGTTGAGTCTATTAAAAAAGTTGCTACCATTTTCAATAATATTGTTTAAAATGTTTGGTGTAATCTTGAAAATATGTAGGTTATAGTTTTAAATAATCCAGCCTGAATTTCATATTTTTTAATTATTTCATCTTGGCTTTGAGAAATAATTGGAATTAACAGTGGATGATATTTTGTTGGTTGTGTTTAACGTAACGCTGTCAATCAGATGGGAGGCCAATCCAGGCAAAGGACAATGAGCCTCAAATAGATTATGTAATCTCGCAGTAAATGACAAGTTGCTTCAGCAACAGCGGCAGATAGAGGAGACAATGGAGACCTGAAGCAAAAAGAGTCATCCTGATTTGTCAATATGTGGCTCCTCAGCTGACTGGAAGAAGACAGAAGTGCAGAGTCGGAGCAAAGAGTGCACGCAGAAGGGTGGAGGATGTGTAGACAAAAGGCAGATTAGCTAAACTAAACTTAAACATGATAAGAGCAACACAAAGGCATCTGAGTTTTAAAAATGTTGCTAATTGTTTTTAAATGTTAAAAAAAAAAAACAGTGAAATCACTATTATTGGTGTATGTGCATTGAAGCATCGTCATACACTGACAGTCACTGTCCTCCTCCAACAGAAATCATATGCAGGGGTGCCACCAAGAGGGGGCCAGAGGGGGCAATGGCCACCTCTATAAACTTGCTCCCCAGACTGGTCATGCAGTCTTATCCTCCTGAGTATTTGCCTTGTGGGCAGTTTTATTTCCTCTAGCTATTTTGTGTTAGTA